GGCGGCGGGGCGAAGCGCAGCGGCCGAGTGCGGTGTGGCGGGGCGGGGCGAGGTCGTGGCGGGGCAGGGCGGGGCGGAGCAGGGCGGGGTGGGCTGGCACGGGCCACACCCCTGGCCGGTGGAGAACACCCTCCGATCTGACGACCATCTCGATCTTGATCCCGCGTAAGGAAGTGGCCGCTCGTCCCCTCCGGGGGGTAGGCAACCCATCCTGCTCACTCTCTGCCCCGCCCCGCCCGCTCCACGACTTACATGGACGTCCTCAGCGGCGGGCCCGGGCCGCTCACACCTCCCTCGCCGCCTGACGACCAGCTGACCGGCCAACCCCGCAGCCGTTCACCCGCTGCACCCATAAAGTCGGGGTATGAAAAATTGTGCGGTGCAACGAGGTGCCATGCCATACTGAATAAGAGGACTGCATGTGGGACCCCGCCCGGCCCAGCGGGCGCCCGCGCGAGGTCCTCATCTTGGCCCCACCGTGATATATGTCCACTCGGGTACATATGGAAGACGCACGCCATTTCAATATAGGAATAACGCCGGCACGCGGAGTCTACGGCGGGAGGTGGCGGGGGGTGCGCGGCGGGGGCGGCGCGGAGCCTGGGGGCGACGGCAGGGCTGCAGGGGGAGGAGGCATTTGAATAAAAAAGCGCTTGCTGGGCGCCACGCTAGCGCCGCGCGCGAACGCTGGCACGAGGTTAACGTTTGAAGCATTCCATCGAATAACATACAAGAGTCTGAGATCTGCAGTTATACATTATGTATAGGGGACCCTTCCGGTATGCCGCCATAACCCAGCCCCGCCCGTCCCGCCCAGCCCTTCCCCGCCCCTACCCCGCCTCACGAACGCCGTCGCTCACCTACATCCAGTCCTCGGTCCAGCCCCCATCAGCAATCGGCAGGTCTTTTAAGACTTTTTGTATGATTGGAGAATGTTGTTGATAGCTCACGTTACTTGTGCTGACGTTGGGTGCAATGCCGATTATTTATTGCGGACATTAGGGGGAAAAGTCGAGTTTTTGTTGGAGTTTTCTAATCAATGATGTGTATGTTAATACCAGTACAAGTGTACATAGCAGACATATTTTAATTAGTGTATACATGCCCATGTAAGCTTTTAGAAATGTATACATACTCATGTACGCATTTATAAATGCGCACATGACCATGTGCACATTAGTTCAAGTATGCATGCCATGAACGCTTTGTTTGAAGTATACAATGTACACATTTGAATTGACAGAGTGACTAGTATACTGTTTTGTAAGAAAGCAATACACGCTTTAGACGAGAGAAAGAGAGAGAGTTTGTTTGAGTTTGCTTTATTGCCACTGAACATTTACATGTTATGGACAGAGAATAGAATTTTAAAATACAATAAATAATAATAAATAGATAGAGAAATAAATAGAGAGAGAGAGAGAGAGAGAGAGAGAGAGAGAGAGAGAGAGAGAAGAGGGGGGTGGGGGGCACGTTGTGGGTGGAGAGTCATAGTGTAAGAGGAGGAAGGCGATGCCCGTACGTGCGCTCGCCTCTCTCTGAGGGCTCTCTCCTTATATATCTAACTTTGTAGCATTTGTTCGCGGGGTCGCAGAAATGTGTAAGCTCTCCCACAGAGCAGGGAGCCGGGCAGCAGAGGAGCGGGGAGGGCGGGAGAAAAGAGCGAGTGAGAGAAAGATGGCAGTGGGAGAGAGCGCCACGCAGATGGGGGTAGTTCTGGTGAGGCGTGGGGGGTAGGTGTGGAAAGACCTTGCGAGGCAGGGAGGGGTTGGGCGGGGCAGGGTAGGGCAGGGCGGGGTAGAGCGGCCACAAATCCCCGCTTGCCCCTGGCGGTAAGCCCGTGTCCCACTAATTTGCATATCAAATAAGTTAGTTATGTTTATACGGAGGTATGCGACACGCCAACCCTTCTCTGTCTCGGGCCTTGCTTACACCGCGCGGCCGTTCAAGTCCGAGCACCTCTCGCCTTCGCCGCACGCAGCGTCCTGGAATGTTGATGTTGGTCTGGCCCAGTCAGTCTCACTCGTCCCATTCGAAGCCGCAATCTCGGGATTTTATGTCGCTGAAATTTAGCGCGAAAGAATTCAAAAGCGGTCGCAGCTATGAATTCGAGTCGCAGCAGAGACCTCGACGCCAGGTGAAGCCGATGTGGCGCCAGGGAGGTGCTAGGCGATAGGGCCTGTTTTCATTACCCCGCCAAGTAAAGCAAACATTTAGGCTTGGCTGAACGGGGCGGGTCGGGGTGGGTGGGGTGCGTCGGGGTGCTCAATTGCCACATTGGAATCATCGCCGCGCTCGCCGAAGGGGATCCAAATTAATCGGCTCCGATGCCAGAGGCTGGCGCGGGATGGCCCGGGTGGGGGCGGCTGTGCCCCGCGCCGCTCCGCGCCGCCCCCCACTACCCCGCGCCGGCCCCGCTCCAGCTCCTAATGGGCCCGCGGAGCCCCCGCAGAGCCCCGCGCGAGGCCGCGCAACCCGCGCCAGCTGGGGCAACCCCGCCGGACACCGACCGAAAAATTGATTAAAAAAGCGGATTTCATTCATTTCTCAGTGTATTTAGAAACGGACTGGACGCTTGTGTACAATAGGGTGGGGGAGGCGGCTGGTGCGGGACCCTGCTCGGTGACCACCAGCTCGAGAGAGAAATTGTTTTCCGCGAGGGCCCGACTTGTACACTTTTGCCGTTTTCAGCTGCGGTCTCGCGCCCTACACTGTGCGCAGCGCGGCGACCTTAGGCCCCCCGAGGCGCCGCCGTGGCGAACCCTTTTCCACCTCGCCGGACTGTGTAACCTTCTCCTCCCCCCCCTTCTCTCTCTCTCTCTCTCTCTCTCTCTCTCTCTCTCTCTCTCTCTCTCTCGCTCTCTCTCTCTCTCCACCCCCCCCGTGCGTTCTCGCCGGACCGTGTTTGTGGAGCCATTGTTATGTAGATGGAGCGGATAAACAGATTACAAGATGAAGGATGCGTCCTGGCGCCCGCCCG